TACAGAAAATAGTCCCCTCTGTCTTCTCTCTTATCTAGGGTTTTGTATCACACTCATTTCTACAATATCTGAACCTTCCTCAAAATACAGCGCAGTGGATTTAATACTACTACTGCTATTTAAAAGCGCTGTGCAAGTCTCAAAGCGTTCAGCATTTCAGTCTGAATAATAACTCGAGTCTGAACATTTAACGGAATCCTTTGCTTCTCGTAAGGACATAGCCATTTTAAAAAGTGAGAATGGGTTTGTTTCATTTCCGTCTTCCTGTGTCCATACAACGTTACTTCTTAAACATGATATTTCCCTATGACCCACTGCATGGTTTTGGGTCTACTGAATTCTGTCTCCGAAGGTGCATCACATAGTAGGGACTCTGCTGGTGTAGCTGGGATTGTATTTCATAAATTTACTGTTGCTTGTTCCTACTCTTATCAGCTCATTATTATACAATTGGTTTTCTTTGCAGCAGAACATTTTTGTTTAAAACTGGGGTTGCTGCGTTTCATTTGGTCTTGCCAGTATATCAGTAAAACAAAATTCCTTGTTTAGTGTTGAACATTCTCCGAGGTTTAAAATAACTGTTTAAATCTATTTTTGTCCCAGTTTTTTTTTCTTCACATATATAGTCATCAATGGTGCACATAATCCTCATAGCAAATGGCAAAACATCAGGCTAAACTCAGCTGAAGACAAACAAGCTGTGTATATACAACTAACCTGATGTTGGGCTTGGAAAGTCTCATTTTGGGTTATGGAACCCTTTTCCCACCAGGCCCCCTTCTTTCCTGCATAGCCCCTTCCTACAAAGTCAGAGATACTCCTCCCTCCCCGTAGGTCAGGATTTTCCCTATGTAGATCCTTTTTCCCCAGTTGTTGATAACCAAAGAATTCATCAGTTCTGGCAACCTTTCACCTAGGTCCTACATGCCACCATGTTAGAAATTCCATTCTGGTACTTCCCTTTGCCAAAGGGCTTCAAAGCAGATTGTGTGATAGGTTATTTCTCTCCCCTCAAGAGTGAAGAGGGAGGCATGTGCATGGAGCTGAATGTGTCAAAGCCAGAGTATTAATCAACTGTATAATTGTTCTGGTTACAATGGTTCAGGCCATTAGGCAATAGAAGTATTGGGCCTTCAAGGAGCTGCAATATAAGCTGGGACCTTGCCCCTTACATCCTATCTCAGAGGCAGAGCGGTAGGGGTAGGGGCACGTCTACACTTACCTCCGGAGCGATTGATCCAGCAGAGGTCGATTTATCACATCTAGTGAAGATGCGATAAATCGACCGGCGAGCGCTCTCCCTTCCACTGGAGCAAGAGGCACAGGCGGAATTGACGGGGGAGCATCAGCAGTCGACTTACCACAGTAAAGACACCGTGTTAAGTAGATCTAAGTACGTTGACTTCAGCTACATTATTCACGTAGCTGAAGTTGAGTAACTTAGATAGATCCCGCCCCCCCGATTGTAGACCAGGCCTAAGAGAGTGCAGTACAAGTACAGGGAAGAACCAATACTGGTTGCATTAACAAATCTTCAAGCCATGGTATATTTGTTTCACTGATTAAAACAGTCCTTTTGTTCTGTTGGTGCTTGCTCTGAATAGAGTATTTTTACATCTGGCTTGCCTGGGCTTTGCTAATGTACTTCACAGGGTTCAGACACATCACTATTAGCTAACTGGAGTGGGAATGTCCTGCTTGATGAGCCTCAGAACCAGCATTATATTCTTTCCAATATGCTCATCTCAAGCTGAATCCCTGATTTTCTCAAATCTCACAGCTGAAACACCATGAAATTTATCTGCCACTGAGACTTCACCCCCCCATCTGCTACAATAAAAAGCTTTCACTCTCCACCCTCACCCTCACCCTCCCCTCCACCCCCACTCCCAACCAAATAAAGGAGAGAAAGACGTGTACAGTATGTAATTGGATTACTCGGTAGTGGGTTATGATGCACACAAGCAAACATGGTTATTCAGTTTCCATAGTGACTATGCTCTTGAAGTTATCTATTTCTGGAGTTCCATCACAGACCTTCAATAGCCAGGGATCAGTTTGCAAGCACTCTGCCTTTTTGACAGCTGCCAGCTAGACAATGGAGGAGGAGGAAACATTACTTTTCTCCAAAATATGTTCAGCCGTTTTAAACCAGTGTACCAATGGGACCTTTATAACTTCACAAGACAATTATACCAAAACGTTCACAGATTTTCTTCATCATTTTTAGTGGTTGGTATTGTGTTATCTTAGTAAGATTTGATTCTGAAAAATTGTATTCCTAGTTTTTTATATATTCTTGTGCCTATTCATTATCATGCTAAATCTTAGAGACAAGGTGGGTGAGGTAATTTCTTTTATTGGACCAACTTCTGTTGGTGAAAGGGACAAACTGGTCCAATAAAAGATATTATCCCACCCACTTTGTCTCTCTAATACCTTGGAACCGACATGGCTACAATTATACTGTATATGCTAAATCTTAGTAATACAAGTAATTGTCAAAACAACTTATTATATCACAGTAGTATATACTAAGCAAAAAAGGTACAGCTACAAAGATTTGAATACCAACCTCTGAGCGATTGGGGCAGTCCTCTCCCAGAGGCATGGAACCAAGCAAATATTGCACCCCATCACCTACTATTTAAGGAAGTTTACCCCACCTGAGTGAAACTATGGGATCTTGAACATAGAGCTCTTGGCATTAACACTGCCTTTGAACATTGGTGTCACTACTTGGAAGGGATCCATCATCCAGTCCATGTATTTACTGAGCTCAAGAACCTCGAATACAGCGCAGGGCCAAGGCCATAAATCAACGACAACTCCAGTGGGCCCTATTCTTTTCCCAATTCAACTTTACCTTGACCTACCTCCCTGGAACTAGAAACAGCAAGGCTGACACCTTGTCCCAAAAGATATAGCTCTAACCCATAAGGCCCTAGTCCAGAACCAGCTCACATTCACGTGACCCACTGCCAGGACCTGCTGATGCTCATCCGCTCTTCCTCTGTCTCTGGAGTTCCACCAGACGAGATGGCCATTACTGACCGAGAAACACATGACACCCAAGAGGGGATCACGTTTCTCAGGGACCACATTTATGATCCCCCTGGACTTTCAAGCGTGGCTGTTCTTCAACTGTGCCAAGACTCCACCCAGAAAGGACACTTGGGGTGACATAAAACAATTAACCTCCGGTACTTCTGGTGGCCCTGTATGCACCCCACAATAGGGACCTTTATTGCTTACTGCCAGACACGTGCCTGCACCATGATCCCATGCCAGAAAGCCTATGGTCTCCTCCGACCTCTGGACACCCCATCTCAGCCCTGGAAGGCCATTTCCTTGGACTTTGTGGTAGAACTATCAGAATCCAGTGGTTTCATGACCATTCTGACAATGGTGGATTGCTTTTCCAAAATGTCCCACTTCAATTCCTGCTTTGATTTACCCTTTGCAGGGTTAAACCACCCAGCTCTGGCTAAACAATGCAGTCTATCTTCATGGCCTCCCAGATCATGTCACCTCTGACCAGGGGCCCCAGTTCACTGCCTGCTTCTGGCACTAGGCCCTACATCTATTAGGGGTCAATGTGCACCTGTCCTCTGTCTACCATCCTCAGTCAAATGGCCAAATGGAAAGAATCAACCAGATTCTAGAACAATACCTATGATGCTACACCAACCATCACCCGGATGACTGGTCTACACGATCACCATATGCTGAGTTCTTGTATAATAATGCAGACCATGCAACCAGAGGCCACAGCCCCTTCTTTGTCAACTATGGGTCCCACCCCTGATTTCACCCACAACTATCAACATCCTCATTCCCTTTCATTGGCCTCGGACCTAGTATAACACATCCATCACACCCAAGAAGAGGAGAAGTAGGACTACAAAAGGCATATAGACCAGCATAAGCAATAAGGCTCTACCTACTCTGTAAGACAGAAGATATGAATTTCTATAGAGAGAGAAACAGACCCTCTCAGAAACTAGACCACAGGTTCCTTGGCCCATACCAGATTTGGTGGCAAATCAAACAGGTCATCTTTGAGCTCCAACTCCCCCAGTCCCTTGAGTCCACCTTGTATTCCATGTCTCACTCATAAAACCCTACACTGAGAACGCATTTCCCCATAGACTCCCGTCACCACTCCTACCAGTACAAGTACAAGATCAGGAGGAATACATTGTTCACAAAGTCCTTGATTCCAAAGTCAAGCAGTGTAAATTGTGGTACCTGATTGACTGGGAAGGTTACGGCCCAGAGGAGTGCACTTGAGAGCCAGCTGAGAACATTCACATTCCTGCCCTGGTTCAGGTCTTTCATAGGAGCCACTCTGAGAAACTTGGACCCATGTCACCCAGAGGGCACCCCTAGGAGAGGGGATGATGTCATAACCCACAGGCCTTGAACGTTGGCCCACAGGGTTCACAGGAGCAACCACGCTCCAACCCACCCCTTGGCAGCCTGCTGACAACTGTTTACCCAGGACTCATGAAGCCCAGCCCCTGTTTGAGGTTCCACCCTTGAGGTCCTATTGGTGGAGTCCCACTGGCCTAACCTAAGCCAGCAGCAGGAACAGAAAGCTGTCTGAACAACTGAGATCCACCCTGCTCTGGGCTGTGTGCTTCCCACTCCCACTCCTCCAGCTTGACTTTCTGGCATCCCAACTCAGCTTGACTCCTGGCATCTGACTTGTGGTTCTGATCTCAGGTTTGTCTCCTTCTTCTGATCTCCCAGTATCCTGACCTGGCCTGACTCTTGACTCCTGTCTCGTGATGGTGGACTCTAGCTCTGACCACTAGATCTGGCTGCTCACTACCCAGCCGTGACAGCACTTTATATACTCAATGCACTGTACAGACATTCTCTCATCAATCACACTCCACTGACAAGTTATTCAGAGAAAAATTAAAAAGAAGAGAGGAAAATGCAGAATTCATGTTGTATAGTCCTGCAGAGAGATGCCTCTCTGACATGCTCACCTTTGGATAGTGTCCTTGCTCCTATCAAATCTTCTGGCACAGTTAGGCGATCCCTGCTGCTGTCTGATGAAGTTGTGTCTTCACTTAATAAAGAGTTCTGAGATCCATTATTAGATCTGAGAAGCTGGCTTTCTGCCATTTCACTACAGTCTGCCGTTGGATGATCATCATCATGAGTCTGGACACAGAAGGATAAAGGCTGATCAACCTCTTCCGTGTTAACTATGTCAAGCCAAGACTGTCTCTCTGGATGAGCCATTTTGGCTAGCAAGGAAGATGAGGAACCTTGTGACTTCATGGTGCTTTCCAGGGAGGAGAGAGAACAGGATGCTTCACTTGATAGAGGCGAGATCAACAAGGGCTGCTGCTGAGCCTGTTTTCCGGAACAAATTGCGGGGGGGGGGGGGGTAGGGGGAAATAGTTATCTTATTATAATGGCCCATGAAATAGGAGATAGCTATATATATAGTTTTGCTGAAAGTTTCCCACATTTTCAAAGTATGAAAAGAAGTGCATGGTCACAAATCAACAACTTCTCCCCATACACACTTTCACACACCATCGAGTGCACATTCTCTTTTATGGCTTTCAAATATCAGCTAAGGCCTTGTCTATACCAGGGACCCGCTCTACTTAAAGCCATTGGTTGCCAGTCATTAGGAGTGCAGCAATGGTGCAAACTCCAGTGTAGACATGCACATCCACTATTTGCACTAGTGAGACTTACCCCAGTTTCAAACAGGGGAAAACTCTATCAGTGGAATACTTATATTTTGGATTTGGTCTTCTTGGTACCTCAAACTTCAATAGATTTTAGTTGTCCCAGCTTTAATGATCTGTGTTCTGGTGACTACAGGTGTCTGTCCTACACGTGTCTCAGACCTTGTCTACACTAGGCAGTTGCACTAGTGCAACTACACTCATAGCTGGCCACCAATGGCTAAAATCAGATCAAAACCCCATTGTATACTAGGCCTGAGGTACAACAGGCAAGGTCCTTCACAAGATGCTATTTAAGAAAGTAAGAAGTCATGGGTGAAATGCAAAATATTGTTATGACAAAAACTGCCGAAGACAGAAAACAAGGAGCAAGAATAAATGGTCAATTTCCGTCATGAGAAAAGGACAACAGCAGGGTGCCTTCAGATTCTGTATTAGGTATGGTGGTGTTTAATATATTTATTAATGAACTAAAAAAGGCAAGGGCGGAAAAGGCAGTGAGGTAGCAAAATTTGCAGAGGACAAAGTTATTTAGGTTAGCCACACCCAGAGAAGACAGAGGAATTTCAAAGGCACTTCACGATGATCGGTGAATGGGCAACATGACAGAGGATGAAAGTGAATGTTGATAAATGCAAAGTAATGTACATTGGAAGGAAAAACTTGTACTACTCATACACCTAACAGGGCTTTAATTTTACTTAATCAACTCAGGAAAGGAACGTGAGCATCACCATGGACAGATCAATGAAAACATCTTTCATCAACATGAAGCTACAGTCATCAAATCAAACAGTGTTAGAACGTACGGAAAATGGGATGGAGAAAGCTTACAGAAAATATTATGTAAGTCAGTAGTGTGGTCTCATCTAGGACACTGTATGCCGTACTGGTCACCCCATCTCAAAAAGGATATTGCAGAACTAGCTGGGGTTCAGAGAAGAGCGACCAGAATAATTAGGAGCATGGAAAAAGTCTAATATGAAGTGAGATTGTAAAGACTGTGAATAAGAAGGGAGTAATGAATATAATAGATGGAGTAATGAAAGGTATAGAGAAGGTAAATTGGAAGCTTTTTGTTCTCCCTCTCTCTTGACACATGAGCAAAGGGGCAGTTAATGAAAGTAAAAAGATGGCAAATTCAAAACTGATAAAAGGAAATATTTTTCTACAGACAACACAGTTAGACTGTGGCACTAAGAGATTAGCAAGACTCAAAGAGGGACTGAACATTTATGTAGATAACAACAGCATCTTGCATTCAAACAGTTGATGTGAAAAATAAAGAGTATGGGAAGGGAGGCAAAACCACGTTTCAGGGTTTAAATCAATCTCAAACTATTCAGGATTAGGATGAGACCTTTACGGAAGCATATTATCCCACATCTTCCAACTGTGGAGTTCTTTCACCTTTCTCTGAAGCATTTGGTACTGACCACTGTCAGAGACGCCATGGGTCACAGCACTGAGCCAGTATGGCAATTCTTATGTGGGAAGGGGGTGTTCACCCCACACCAGAAAGGATAGGGTTAAAACCAGCCTAGGGAGGCTGCACAGGGAGCAGCCAATCAGGGCCCAGAGGGCTTACATAAAGGGAGATGCAGGGCCTGAGACATGCAGTTGCCACAGGGACCCTAAGGAGAGAGGACTGTGTTCTTAGTGGACTGCAGGAAGGTAGCACTTTGAGCAGAAAAGCTGCTGTCAGGGACCGGGGGAGCCAGAGGGAGCTCCTGGCTGGCTGTCGGGTCGTGCTAGCTGTAGGCCCCGAGAAGAGGTGAAGAAGTTGCTGGGACTGTGGGCAAGTGGCTCAGGAAATTGAAGCAATATTGCCGGAGCAGTTAAGGTGAGGCAGCAGGAATAGGGTCCCTGTCTATAGGGTCCCTGGGCCAGGACCCAGAATAGTGGGTGGGCCTAGATCCTCCCCACTCATCACTGGGGAACTGGCTGGACTATAGAACTGGGAGATACTTCCCCTCCCAGAAGGGGAAAAACACGGATAGTGATGCAGCCGGAGGGCTAGGTCATACAAAGGATGCTGCAGTTCCTGGACTAGGGTGGGTCTACAAGTGGAGACAAGGCCAGGAGAGGCACTACCAGGAGAGGGTGCGCCTGATGAGGGAGCTAATCTATGTGATGGCAAGCAGGGGACGCTCCTCTGGGGAGCAAACTATGTCCCACTGTGTTCCTAAAATAGGTGAGATATCTGTAATGATCAGAAGAGAGAACATCAAAACTGGGAGCACGGGAAAATGTTGAAGGTGGGTTGCTAGGGAAACCTGCTGGCTAGGCATGACAAACATAATACATACTCCTATCCTTAGATAAAGGGCCAGTCTATTATACCTATTAACAGTACATTAATGATCCATAGATTAACAGCGTATCTAAAAACCAAATACAACATTTTATATTATGCTGTACCAGCTTTTGTGATTCACGATTTCCTTTTAAAGTTGGTGGGAGGGAAATGAAGCATAGTTTCTTCCTGGGGTGTAATCACTAATCTTTTGCAGCAGACAAGGAGAGTCGATTAAAAAAAAAATCCTGGCTAGAGCTATGTGAGTAACTGATTTTTCAGTCACTGGCTGGTCTGAAAAATTGAAAAAAAAATCTCAGTTTGGGTGGAATAGAAACTGAAATTTTTCAGAATTCTCAGTGAATCAAAAAAGGTGAAAAAAAATTATTTCATGTCAAACAAAATGTTTTGTTTGGGTATTTTCAATAGAAGAAAATGAAGGACTAGATTCACAAAACTGGAGGTGGGGGGGGCAGAGGTGATGCATGGGGGGCTACGTGCCCCCTCATTTGCACCTTGGGTTGTACTGAGCATGCTCAATAACTCTGCTGACACTGGCTGCCCTTCCTCTGTCCCCCCACTATTGGCAGGCACAGGTCGTCCCTGGCAGTGCCCTTATATCCAGTAGCCTGGTAGCTAGGGCACTTCCCAGGGATGGGGGATCCAGGTTGAAATCCCCTCTCTGGAGCAGATATTTGAAACTCAGACCTTCCCTCTCCCAGGTGAGCGACTTAACCACTAGGCTATTCTGGAGTGGATCTCTCTCCATCTCTACTGTTCCACTTTGTATAAAATATTCATTGGGCCAGAGAAAGAGAACAGGAATGACACTAGTGGTTCAGGTACTCATCTGGGAAGATAGATGCCCAGGGTCCAGTGCCAGCTGTTGAGTAGGGGTTTGAACCTGGTTCTCCCATTTCTCACATGAGGGCATAACTATAGGGCATGATGAGGGCACTGACAACTCCACTAGCTCCAATTTTGTGTATGGTGAGTAAATCCCTTTCTGAATCTAGCCCCAACACTGAAATGCTCCGTTCTGATAATGACAAAAGGATTTATTTTGACATTTCCAAAATATTTTCTTTTTTTGTTTTAACAGAAACAATTCATCCAAAAAATTTCATCCAGCTCTAATCCTGGGACCCTGCTTGTAGCACTGACTGCATTCTGGTAACTATATTAAAAACGTTTTTTTCAGAGCTCTTGAGCCTAACCCAGCTGCTTACAGAATTTAAATTATTTACACGGTCATAAATTTAAATCTGCTAGAATCAGAAGTTTCTCATGGTATCCCAAGAAATAAAGCTGACAATAAGCAAATCAGGAGGGTTCCTCTTCCCTATAATTTAAGTCAAGGAGAGACACTGGCCAAGTATTTGTACCCCAAAGCAGTACAAGTAAAACATGAATGCCAATGTGATGTTAATGTTCTGATTTTAAATGCTCAAAAATCAGGAAAGAAAAAATTGGAATTTACATATGTAAAAGAAAAGCCTTAATGATATGTAAACTTTGCATCTGTATGAAGGACTCTTTTTCTTTTCATTTTGTATTACAGAGAAAAAGGATGAGGGGGAGACAGACGAAAAACTCTTCCAGCTCTCTCTCTCTCTCTATTTATTTATTTTAAAGATATCCAGTATTTACCTAACTTACCATAGTGGTTGCTTTGGAGCTATTGCAATCTTCCATATACTAGTAAATCTTCATTTTAGAGACATTTTTAAAAGCAGATGTTTGACCAAGGCAATCCTAAGGATCCCACTAGAGATCAATGAGTCTTTAGGGCCTCTTTTAGAGAGAAATTACTGACATGAAACCCCTTAACTGTCCTCTTGGGACCTCTGCAATCTATTATCTCAAGGTAGCTGCTGTTTGGGAGCAATAAATACACTCACATGCGGGAAAACCTAACACACATGGGCAGCAACAGTTTTTGTCCTACAAATGTCCAAAAGGACTTGTTTTTAATATTTTTTTTCACAAATACCCAGGGACACTACTCCACATAGTAGACTTATGACCATTCATGTTTTGTTTTTAAACTATCAAACTGATTTTGGGTTAGAGGACTACAAAGAAGCAGCTGAAACTTTACATTGGGAGTACAGCTCAATCCTCACTACCCTAACAGACACCATGAACTGAACTGGCTGCCTATTAGTGTCTGGAGAGAGTTTAAGATGCTGATTTTGACCTTTAAAGCCTCAAGTGGATTGGGACCTTCCTGCCTGAGAAGCCACAGTTTTCAAGAGAGCCTAAGTGACTCGAAAGCTTGAAGTATATAGTCCAGCTTGAGAAGACATACCTGCGCTAGCTCTGACCAAGAATGTACCTATGGCCTTGGATGGGCTTAGAATCAGGGTGGCTAGCTCCTCCTGCTGTTAGCACCGCCAGGGCTACGCTAATTCCTAGCGCACTGGCTCAATCGAATTTACACCTTCCAGCTCTTGTGTAGACATACCCTCAGGAGCATAAATCCCATTTTCAAAAGTGACATAGACACTTAGGGGCCTAAGTGTCATTGAAAGTCAGAAAGATTTAGGCTCCCAAGTGTATCACTTTTGACATGGGTTTGTGTTCCTAAGATAAATGTTACTTCTAATAAAAATTAGAAAGTATGCAACTAGGGTATGGATTCCAACCTTGGGTGTGTCCCAAAGAGCAGATTTTTCATACAAAAGCATCCAAAGTCTGGCAAACTTCAGGGATTTATAGCACAAAAATTCTATATTGAAGGCACACGTCAAAAGCATCACTTCACATACCTTCCCAAAACCAGCTGCTCCATTTCAAACATTACCCCAATATCAGACATGCTGTTCATTTGTCCAGTGGCTCTGCTGCTCCAACAGCTGCCTCTGGCGATTTATGAAATTTTGGCCAAGGAGGACTTTGGTATGACATTAAATCAGGTCTGCTGGTGTCTGAGTGCGCTCTGCTAGCTGTGACTAGCAGTTGAAGAAAGCTGTGGGTAGGACCGACCAATGCCAATCAGTGCACTGCCTACTGACCAGTTCTAAAAAAAGACTCGGTTGCTTAGTGGATAATAGGCTTGTTTCCATCAGAAAGGTGATGTGGGGGTGGGGAGATGAAAGCTAAAGGGGGAAGTGGGTGGAAGAAAGGAAAGAGGAGCTTGATGAGGGGAGAGATCAAGGAAATGTGAGTCCTCACAACATCCATCTTGCTTGCACCCCTCCCACTCCTCTGCCTTGCTGAAATCCTAAAGCCAGCCTTACTCCTGATGCAGTGGATTTTACATACAACAGAAGAACATATGGGAAGGAGACACCCAGTGATGGCCTTTGCAGTAATGGAGTGGCAAGCTTCTGGCATGCCAGAAAGAGAATATTAAAAATAGTACATGATTAAACCCACTTATGGAGAAATGCAGAGATATTCAATTAAAAACTCAAGATCAACATAAGGGAAGGGCAGCTACAAAGTATTGTAACAACCCATTTGCTTTTATGCTGGCACTCTTAAGACAATCATTCACTGCAGTATAAAATTCAAGATACTTTATTCACTACTAGCCTTTGACCCAGAATAAATCTTTGAGCAGAGTCTTTAAGGTTTTCATTCTCTCTGCTATTTATAGCCTCTAGACCACATTTAACTTTCAGTTAGTGCAGGAAATAAAGAATCTTGAATTTTATATACCAGTGAACAATATATGTTCCAGGAGTGCCAGGTGGGTTGTTTTACAGTGTTTAACATTAGACAACGGTTTTAGGAGAGGAAGTGCAGATTAATTTATCTGACTGAAACAGAAGGGGAAATAAGTGAGCGTGTGACACATAATCCTAACTTTATAAACGCAAATTTAGCTCTGGTGCAGGGTGCCAGATGGACATTCCTGCAGACAGATTCTCTTTTTATCCACAGAACAGTACTCACAACTACAGTGCAAGCTTCACTGACTAACCCATGTGCCTCAACGTATTCAGGAAGAACCACCTCTATAGGTGAGGGGGTATTTAGTATTTTACTTTTTGCTTAGGAAAAATCAATATGGGAGCCTCTTAGTACCAACCACGCTCATGTTTATTGTGATGTGGACACCTGTTTACTAGGAACTGGAAATAAGACCAGTTTATTTCATGTCACTGCACTCCTTTTTGATGTTAACAACTTTCATTTATTCCTGGCCTGGGGTGGATTATTTAGATTGCACTAGTGCCCAGAACACGCTAGGCACTTTCCTAACACAAATTAAGACATAATGTAAGACACACACACACACACACACACATTCACTTCAGCTGCAAAGGTTGTAGGTCCCTCTCCATCTGAACCCCCTCCTTACACATGAGATAAGTAGATAAAAATGTATAGCTAGACCTACTGTCTAGAATATTCCCTTCTGCCTGGCTTCCGTTATAGATTAAAGTAAATGGCTCCTGGGTGAGGGGAAGGGAACATAAAAACAAAAAATCAGACAAATCAACACCTGCCATGAGTTGCAGTGTCAACGTTTGGGCTCAGGTTCCAGCCCGAGCCCAAACGTTGACACTGGCCATTAAACAGCCCCTGAGCCTGAGCCCTGCAAGCCCAAGTCAGCTGGCCTGGGCCAGCCACAAGTTTTCCACTGCAGTGTAGAGATACCCTGAAAGAGTCTAAAGAGAAAGAGAAAGGAGGGGGTGGGGCAATGTGCTGCAACGTGCAAGGAAGATGATAAGTAACTCACGGCAGGTGTTGATTTGTCTGATTTTTGTTTTTATGTTCCGTTCCCCTCACCCAGGAGCTGTTTACTTTAATCTATATCAGAATCCAGGCAGAAGGGAACTGGGGAATATTCTAGACAGAAGCTCTATGGGGAAACAGAAAGAAAGAGACAACCAGCCTAGCTTTACCAATAGCACTTTTCCCCTTTTTCTTATCGTTTCCCTGTTCAATGTTAGAAGAAAGTGATTTTTTATCATTGTCACATGACATCCTCCTCCCTCCATTCACCCCTCTCTCTCTCTCTCTCTCTCACACACACACACACTGAATTAAAGTAATAATTAATACATTTATGTTATGGAAAAATGTAAAAATGAATAATTTTTCCATAACAAATTTTGCCTGACCCCATTAGAAAGAAATAGGTCTCTCAGTCTGCTGAGTTTGTGCTAATTGAAACATGCCTTTCAGTTTACAAGGTCTGTGTTAATTGTAGGAGAACATCCTGAAACAGAAATCTGTTCTAAAGTAATAAAATAACCATTAAGGACAGCTGTCGTTACAACTCTGTTTTCCGAAATTCAGAAATAAAATTTGTTAACCCCCACTCTTGCATTCTTATCTTGATTGTTCTCTTTTCATATGTAACAAGTGGTATGAATGGGCTTATTAAAGTCTGCCATGCCCAATGATTTTAAAATAGTCATGGTAAAAAATAAATAGGCAATAAAATGTAAATGTAATAAAAAATATGTTAAGTAAAATAAAATGTAATTGTGAATGCATGTTTAAATAAACAATAAAAGGTTAAGGTGCCAGCCTTAAAATAAAAAAAACAACTACCCAGGACCGTTTGGCTGAAAAATGCACTGGGTGAAATAGACTGATAACCCTGAGGGCACACCGGAATCCACCCACAACCACCCCAAGGACAGAGGGGGGCCAAAGAATCGAAAAACAAGATAACAAGTCATCATTGCTGTGCCATCTGCGTGATTGATTTTCACTTCAAATGTGAGAACAGCATGATGAAGAAAACTCCATAGACTTGTATGAGGATGAATCCCTATAAAAACAGATCCTAAAGACTGGGGTCTTTGGGTCTGGTTCTGCAACCAACTTCCAGGGGCATTGGATGCGCATCTGACAAGGCCCTGCTCCATCCTCGTGTCCAGGCTGCCTGGCCAGTGACTTGGCACGAGCAGCTTCTAGGCTGGTAACTATAACAACAACCTTGCAGAACTTGTATTCACAATAAACATGGCATATTGCCTTATCCCCTGAATAAGATCCTGCTGGTTTTTATTTTCTAAGTATAACACACACACACACACACACACTCACTCACAAACACACACACTCGAGTTCCAACGGTTTTAGGTCCCTCTCTCAACACCAAACCCCCTCATTTCAAGCTAATGAGAAGCTTACTCATGAGATAAGTAGATAAAAATCGATATGCTGGGTGACTATGAGCTAGATTGTTTTCAGTATCACAGAAGAGACTCTTTGGGAGGGATTTAAATGAGGGCAGGGTAGTGCCCTCCAACTTTCATTCTAAAATGATAACTTTTGGTTTAGCTCTTCGTGCAGATTAATCATTTCGTCCATGAGTTCAATTCTCAGTGCACTATCATGGAGAATGATGAAGTGAGCTGTAGCTCACGAAAGCTCATGCTCAAATAAATTGGTTAGTCTCTAAGGTGCCACAAGTACTCCTTTTCTTTTTGCGAATACAGACTAACACGGCTGTTACTCTGAAACCTATCATGGAGAAGGATGACATATTAGTGTGAACTGTCACCAGGAAGGAGGGAAGGAAAGGATGGAGGGGAAGGGTGCAGCAAAATAAGAGCATCCATATTTCACAGGCAGATTAAATAAATGCTTACAGCCCTTTTTGTAAATTATTAGTCAGATGTGCACCTTTTGAAGAGGGTGTGATGACATTTGTGCCAGCGGTTTAGCAACTGGAAACAAGCTAATTACTGTAATACATACCAAATGAGGAGGAGGTGGCTGTTCTGTGTAAGGAGGGGGTGGAGTCTCTCCTGCTATTTCTGGATCTTCATGTTCACTCTCACTATAGCATTCTAGGAAAAAAGAGTAAAATGAAACAAAAAATAAATAGACACCCATTTATTCCTTTTAGCTGCTCAGCAGCTGAAGATCATTATATGATTATATTCAATTGTATGATGGAGTTGCCTCCGATTGCAGGGAACTGCACTCAGTGACCCAGGAGGTCCCTTCCAGTCCTATGTATTTTGGTCTGAAGGCCAAAACCCATGGTCTTAATGTCTCCTACAGCAGTATCTCTTCATTGGTATTTTATGGCAACTTGTTTTGAAATGTATTTTTATTCCAATGTTATCGTTATGGCAGGAGTCATCAGATGGCACTGCCATAGACAATTTTACCAGTTCCTTTTCTTGGCACGTGAGTAGTTTTCAGTCTGCAGAAATGCTGTGTTGTTGGTTTTGCAATTTTGGGGAAGCTGTGGCAAGCAGTAGGAAAGTTTGTTCCCTTGCTTAGTCTCTCTATCTCATGTCAATTCCTGGGGCAGAGTTGCTCCCGGAGAAGGAGGCATTGGTGTTTTGGCCAAGATTCCTGGAAGAGGGTGATTGCCTGCATACTGTTTGTGACCATCTTCATTCTAGGATTGATGTACATAGGGTCAAACAAACAAGTTGCACTAAGAATACACTCAGATTCCACCTCACTATTTTTAACTCCAGTGAGAAAGACCTGAAAGGCCCCAACATCTGCTACTGCTCAGCAGAGGGACAACAAAATGAATAAAAAGGAAAATAGTAGGGGAGTTAGTGGAAGTATTCACTGCTGCCACTTGGGAGGGGTTTTTTTAAAACTAGATGAAACAAACAAAGCATTCACAAACATGGTATAGGTTCTAATCCAGTTATACTCTTTTCCGGACCGAGAAATTGAGACACAGAGCTTAAAATGGCAAAGAAGGTGACAAACGAAATCAGCATGCTGTTGGTCCTAACTTCCAGGGCCCTGCTGTAGTCACTGGAAAACACTGCTTCCACTGGATTAAATCCCTCAGCAGCAGCCACCAGCACTGCAGATTCAAACTTGGAGCAAGTGTTTATCTGAGAGACTTCAGTCTGTTTAAATGCTTTCCCGTACCACATACCATGTGCGACAGAGTACACACATACCCTGTACCTGGATATCTGCTCTGAACTGAGACATTGTGTGGTCAGCAAGAATCAGTTAAGCAAAGTGTAATGACGACAACATCAGTGGGTGCTGGCAGACAGAGGTACTGACTGTCCCTGTGGTTTCAATTGGAACCAGTATTCTGCACTTCCTCTTCTAAGCTGTTGCACAATATTACTATGTGCTGATAAACAGCAGTAGCAAGACCACCTTACTATCTTTGACATCGCTTACAGGGAGTTTGTGAGGTTTCTATTTTTATGTTCATGAAGCGTTTTGTGGTTCTTGGATTTCATGGCATCATACAAGTGTGCAGCATCACCATTTGGTAACAATCAATTATCTTTCAGATAAATTATTGGCTGTACTTTTTTTCCCCTTCTTTTATCTATGGAAAACTGTGTGGGTCACTTTTTTGGTTCTAATAATTCACCTGTCAGCAAAAAGCTCTGACGTGAAGACTTTAAGCAAAGGAAAGATGTCACAAAGATGTTGATGAAATGACATCCAGGGGATTTGCCAGGTTTTGTGTAGTTTTGCACATGTTCTCATTTTATTATTGGCAGAACTAGAGGATTATTTTATAACATAGCTACGGTTTTGTTTACTGCAAACTTTGGCCAGCTACATATTTTAAAATCATATTTAGAATAACAGATTGAAATTTTATGCCAGTAGAAACATTTAAGAAATCAAAGGAACTATTGATTAATAAATAAAATATTCTTTCTGCAGTTTTTCTTTTATTCACACACATGACACAGGAAAAGTAAAATCTATATCTGGTTTCTGATATTGGAAACTGATTGAAGGAGGGACTAAATACACAGGAACCATTCCCCTCAGTCTCCCCCCAAAAAAGGAGGAATCCAAGAGTGGGGATCTAAGAGCTCTTTGAATAGTTATGATGTGTGACACTCAGGAAAGACTTACAATACTGGAAACTGCAGCATGTCCTTAGGCTATGTCAGCATTTTCCCAAAATGTGAGGTGTGCACACCTAGCTAATGGCAAGAAGATGGATAAGCCTTTAACCACACACACACACACACACACACACACACATCAGGAGTACAGATCAGGAGATGGGGAGGGGTGCATTTTCCTGAAAACAGCGGTGCGGGGTGTCAGCTTTAAAAAGTTTGGGCAATACTTGACGATGTTAAGTTTGTTCTGATGATGAAGTGCTGGTAACTTGGTCACCTGCTGCAGAGGTTAGCTGGGTAGAGTTTCTCAGGACAGGAGCTCTCTCGTCTGCTTACATAGTTCCCATTAAGATCAGTTGACTTTCCTAATTTTAATTGCTTCTTATTTTCCTAACTCTTCTCTTGCTTCAGCTATTTCTCCAAACACAACCAGCATACTGTACTTCCTGGAACTTTCATTTTTAAGCTCCTGTTTGTTTCCATAACACTGAGAGGTTGCCAGTCAAATTATTGTCATCATCTTTCAATCAGCCATTTTGCTGCTTGTCTAAACAGCTCAAGCCAAAGCTGGACCCCTTTCCTCCTCTGGTAAAATTATCAGACTGGGTTCCCTGCTACCTAAGATTCAGTATAGCAACGTGCCCTCCACTTGCCCCAAACCACTCTGCTCTAACACCTGGGTGAGGGGATGAAGAGGCACTAGGGAACGTATCCACAAATGGCAAGTTTCTGGAGAAAGCCAGTGGACCAGTGAATAGAGGTTTCTCTTAAAGAGAAGGAAGGGGAAATGCACTGTATCCCAGTCAAAACAAAGGAGACAGTGAGGCATCCTGATTCTCCAGGCGCCTCAAGTTATCATCACCAGTGATTTCTATCAGCACAAATAGCTTGTAATACCACTTCATATGGCACTGAACTAGCTCAGCAAAGTTAACACTAGCACTGTATGAATGAGTCCTACGTATGAGCTATGCCCCATTCACAAACGTGGCAGAGGGCCTAAAGCAGGGCGGGGTTAACCTTTTTTCTATCATGGGCCCATAGGCACCAACTCCTGGGTGTTCCGGTGCTGGAGCACCCGTGGGAAAAAAAATGGTGGGTGCGAAGCCTCCCCCTACCAGAACCTCCCCCTCCCCCCAGCACCTCTTGCCCGCTGGTGGGACCCACCGATCAGCACCACCCCCTCCTTCCCAGGGCCTACCGCCTTCTGCTGATCAGCTGTTTCATGGCATCAGCAGGCTCTGGGAGGGAGGAGAGGAGCAAAGGCAGAGCGCTTGGGGGAAGGGGCGGAACTGGGCAGGGAAGGGGTGGGAAGAGGCGGAGCGGGGGTGGAAAGAAGCAGGGCAGGGGTGGAGTCTTGGGGGAAGGGGTGGAGTGGGAACAGGGCCTGGGCAGAGCCAGGGGGAGCACCCCCACAAATCAGAAACTCAGTGCCTATGCACAGGCCATTGACCCACATAAAAAAATCAATCACGGGCCACATACATCCCCACAGGGGGGCACGGAGCCTCAGGGCTTCCCACCCGCAGCAGGGAAAGCCAGTGCTCACAGCTCCAGCCCCACAGGGTGGGGCGCTGAGGCTCGGGGCTTCAGGCCCGGAGCAGCAAGACTAGCCACGAGCCAGATGAAATCAAGCAACGGCCAGATCTGGCCCGCATTCTGTAGGTTCCCCACCCCGGCCTAAAGAGAAGATTGTATCAGAATTCTTTGATGCTCATAACACAAATAGAGTGAACCATTTAGGCTGTAAACTCCTTGGGTACAGGGACCTGCTATTTTATATCTCTAAAACACCATCAACACATATAGTACTGTATTAATGAATAAATTAAGGGAACTCTTTTAAATCATAAATTCCACAGTTGTCAGACAGTTAATTGTTGTGCCTTGGTTGATATGGAAATCAGATATTTCAGGGCACAACTGGCTTTTTGGTGCTAGTGAAACATGCAACAGCTGATGAGCCACAAACTGAAAGTTTAAAAAGAACAGCGTTGATATGAAATTAATTGTAGCAAAAATCTCACTGTGTAAAAAAAATGAAATTGTTCCATGCAGAAATTGTGATGTGAACATACCTTCTTCATTCTTTCCATTGGATGCCTGAGGAATTACAGCTAGCCCCAGTTTATTTAGCCACCTATGTTACAAACAAAAAGCAAGCACATTTTAAGGGGATATTTGTATTCTACCCTGCAACACCTCTGACAGTCTTCAGATACAGTGATCTTCCTATCTTTTATTATCACCACCAGTATTTTTTTTCTTTCATCCTCAGTTTAAACTTCCTGTGGGATTCAGAGCTAGTCTACACTAAAAAGTTAGGTTGAAAAATTTCTTGCCCTCTGCAATGTAGTTAAGCTGACATAAGATCCAGTGTAAACACCACTAGGTTGATGGAAGAATTCTTCTATCAACCTACCCACTGCCTCTTGCAGAGGTGGATTTGCTATAGCAATGAAATAACCCCTTCCGCAGTGCTACAGCAGCACAGCTCAAGGTGAGCCCCCCTGTAGTGCAGACTTTCCTTAAAGGGTGCTGAATACCTGCTACTCCCTTTGATTTCAAAGGAAGTTGAGGAGCATTCAAGCACCTCCCAAGGAGATATGTACTCCTCACCTCACAGGTTAAGGAACAGTTTATAAGGCTATTTAGAAATCCCTCTGTTTTTAAACTGCTTCCATACATGGGTATCTGAACCAGTGACTTAATTATTTAAGATACTGTAACAAATTATTTATTCCTCACAGTTACGCAATCTTATGCTCTTATCAGACCATGGCATACTTTGTAAGAGTAGGTCCTTTAACTCAGGCTTCCTGACCAAATTTAAAATTATGTAAGTTATGCTCTACGTCCCCTTACACCCCCAGTTTTATATAGCATTCTTCACTTCCTGTTCTAAACAGTTAGGTAGCATTGCTGCATGCTATTAACAGCTGCTGCGTTTCCCACCTTCCCTAGAGGGCTGTGTTTTCTTAGTGCATGAAGTGACACCTGGTTATAGTTTGTGTATCTTTTCAATTTATAAACCTTTTGGATCCTTTGAACTGTAAGGTGCTATAGTATGTAAGACATTACCTGCTCAAAAATTCATTCACCCTCCTCGTCAGACCAATCTCTAGGTTTAGTGGGCCTCTGGGAACTAGTTATACAATAATTAGATGACAGTGTCTGATCTTGCTCCCATTGAGGTCACTGGGAAATTTGCCAATAACTTCAGTAGGAGTAGGATTGGGTCCACCTCCTCCTGATCACTGTATGAAGCATCAATGTACATAACAACTAAAGATTACAGATTGTCATTCCTGTAAAAATGGAGAATGAATTTTGGCTCCAGTTTATTAAGGACCTTGACCTTACTCAATGAAGATTAATAGAAATGAAAGTAAAAAAGAATTCTTAGTATTTCAAACAGAATGGATAGGTCAAAAAAAAAGTCCAGATTTAAAAGGTTACCATCATGTAGGAGTGTAAAGTGCACCGTGGTAAATGCATGCGGCTATCTGCTATCTTCTAGCACATGTACTAAATAAATGAAGCAAACTACTTCCTGAATAAACCCATTAGTGGTTTAATGGATGGATGCCTGTAAGAGTTACAAACAAATGTCCTGCTCCTATTAACATTTATGTACATGAGTAACTTTACACGCATGAATAGTCCCAACGAGTTCAGTGGACTACTCACAAGTGTAAACAGTTTCAGGATTGGGACCAAAAAGGCAGATACCGCTCACTCTAGTTTTATGCATGTGTGATTTTTATATATAATACATTTCCATGGAAAACATCAGTACTAATACCACACTCAGCAATTAAGTTCTCATAAATCAGCAAATCCACAAAGATTAACTCTGACCCTCTGTAGGGGTGTCTCACTCCATCCTCAAGAAAGATTTTCTGCAAACTGCAGTTGTTAAGTAAATTTCATTATGGCTTTAAAAATCAAGGCCAATATTAAATTAGTGTATGCCTTGTTGTACCGTAACTTAGTCTGTAAGGTTGTATAAGAAATTTCAGTTTGTATTATATAATATATATTAAAATTTGTCAGACAATTCATAATTCACAATACACATCATATTTTAAAGGCCTAAATTCAAGGGTCAGAGTTAATCTTTGTGGATTTGCTGATTTATGAGAACTTCAGGAACATTGATTTATTTTTATGAAACATTGGTAGGCTTATTGAAAATTGGCCTTATAATGGGATCCTAACTTAACCTTAACTATGGAGCAAATATTGCCACTCCATAATATCTTAATTAAATTGACATGTTTTTAAATAGCCACCACTAGAGCAGGGTGTTTTATCTTACATTTACCTGGAAGATAACCACTCCATCAGCATGAAAAAACAAAAACAGCAGTCCAAGAATACTCTTGAATCACAAACTACTACTTGACAACTAAAGAACCAACATGCAAACAAAGCAACGGTTCTAAGATGGTGGGCAAGGATAGAGATGTTCAGCCGCTGTTACTTACCTATTCATTTCCTCCACATTCTCTGCTGCAAAATAAAATGTCTTGATCTGTGGGTGGCTGACCTTAATAGCACTTCAAGAAAAAACAACAACAACGTACACACACACACACACACACACAGAGAGAGAGAGGAAGGAAAAGTTAATGTACGTAGGAAAAAAACAATGAAATTGTGAGAGCAAATTATCCAAAGCATAACACCTTTGTACATCCCATTCTATTAATGCAGACCAAGTTATCCATTAAGAAATGTATTTCTTTCCTCAAAATTCTGTGCCATTTTTAGTGGAATTTTATAGGTTTGTCATTTTAGCAAAGATACAAAGAACTTTGGGTCAAGATAGATAAGAGGTGTTCTAGTACTGAAAGGACATTTTCAGAAGAAAAAAAAAATAGACGTATTTCTAGTCTATTAGCATCATTTTATGTCCTCCTGATTTGTACACCTTTTTGGTGAAGAGAAGGGAGTAAAAAAGATTCTTGTGAAAATAAACGTTATAATGATATTAGCTGCCCTCTAACAAACCAACAATGGTACACGCTTGGGAATCAGCGCTAAAGTATCACAAGAAAGATGTGCCGGCTAAAGAAAAAAGTTTCTAATTCTGGATGTTCACATGCCAAGAATCCATCTCAATTCACCTCTGTTCAGTTGCCCCCCCCAAAAAGAAAAGCAATACAGTTGCCTTCTAGTGAAGGACTGGAGGGCCAATGGGACTAGAATCTGCCTACGGGACTGAATTGAAAGTTGATTCCATTTGGTGGTTGTCTGGTGGCTTATATAAAATGAATTGAACTCAGTCCAAATACTGCAGGCAAGTAGCTACATAAAGACCATCATCAACTCTGTCAATAAGTGGCAGCTACAATGAAGAACTGTAGAGCAACGGAGACTGAACTAGCTAGTTGAAACACACTGGTAAGTTAAAACAGAAGAAATTTACACTTCTACAGCCAATTTTATCTCTGTTCTGTGGATAACTAAAGGATTTCAGGCAGCCTAAGCAGATCATGGGGCACCTTTTCTCAAAATACCTATGATTTTTTCATTTAAGACATCTCACCATTTTTGAAAGGGCACAACTTTATATGCCCTTCTTCCTACATGTTATTAGGTAGCTTTCTAATTATATACACCAAACTCTAGAAAGGAGATTATTGTTATCACATAATTTAAATAAAAAAGCAAATTATGCTAATTTCTGCATTTTGAAAATAAGATCATAGCAGGTCCCCCATATGTGATCATTAGTACTGGGAGAAAACTTCAAAAGTTTCTGGTAACATTCATTCCAATTTTTAGATGAATTCATTGACTGTTTGCAGCCTTTTTGTGTTGTTTTATTGCAAATATTCTACCAAACCAGTTTCTGTCAGAAATTATCACTGAAACAACCAGTTGGAAATTAATTGGAGAATATCCACAGAAAGCAAACACTGAATTTGCAAATAAGAGTATTTGCAGAGGAATCCTCATTCTAAGAGTTTCACTCATCCAGACAGGAAATGTAAACACACCCTGTGACTTATAATTGAACACTTCATACTTGAGCCCCTAACTTTAGGCACCTGTGCCCCTCATTTGCAAACACCATCTATCAGGCTTAGCACTGCAAACGGTCCATTGAAGCCAAAGGCAACAGTCACCACTTGCTGTGTGTTATGTGGATCAGCAAACAAGGGCTCTGAGAAACCAACAGGGAACTCTGGAGCCACAGTCTTTCATACTCAGAACATTTTGCCTCTGTTCCTCAAGAATTCAAGTAACAGGCCTGCCAGCAAGCATGCCTTAAGAAAAATGTGGGGATAGAGCACTGGGAGGAAGGCTTTCTCTTAAAAGCCAGGATAAAACCATGTAGTGTTTTGTAGATGAAAAACCAAATCCTTGAACTGCATTTAGAAGCATCTGGAAGACAGTGCAGTGTATGGAGCATGATGGTTGGGGCCAGCCCTAGATAAAATGGTGCCCCAGGCAAGGAGCATCTCCAGCACCCCCATCCCCTTCCATTTGTTAAAATTTTGAATACCTTATTTTTTATTGCATTTGTAGCCCTTTTCATGACTTTGATGCATGACTTGCATACATGACTTATCCCTGTCATATAAGATGATAAATTTTCACGCTAGGATCTGTAAATCTGTATTTATTCATGCCATATGTAAGCAAATAAGAAAAAAATTGTTTCCTCAAATCTTATAGAAATATTTTAATTTTTAAGAATAACTGAAATATACTAATATCAAGAAATTGAACTGTGCACCAACAGGGTGGACCAGTATTAAATACAGGTTTCAGAGTAACAGCCGTGTTAGTCTGTCTTCGCAAAAAGAAAAGGAGTACTTGTGGCACCTTAGAGACTAACCAATTTATTTGAGCATGAGCTTTCGTGAGCTACAGCTCACTTCATCGGATGCATACTGTGATCAGTATGCATCCGATAAAGTGAGCTGTAGCTCACGAAAGCTCATGCTCAAATAAATTGGTTAGTCTCTAAGGTGCCACAAGTACTCCTTTTCAGTATTAAATAGTGTTACAGTAGGTGACAATCTTAGAAGGTTACCCTAGTGCTGGGCTCTCATTTCACTTCACTTTGTCCTTATATCTCACTGACTGACTGCTGATGCCCCTCCCCTTATATAGCACGGCTGACAACATTCTAGGAGGTTCAAGGAAAATGTAGTTCTCAGAAAGTCTGGAAGATCCCACAAGATTCTGCAAAGAACATTCCAGCAGGTTAGTGAAAAGTGATTTCACATACGGAATACCTGAAACATTTTACTTCAGACATTCTATTTTCCCTTTTGTTGCTAACAACAAAAACAGCATCTTGAGCCTGGTGCCCCCCAAGCCTGGCACTCTAGGCAGTCACCTAGGTCGCCTGCCCCAACTGTAGTAATATATTAAACAGTTTATGCTGCTAAGTAAGTAAGCTGTCATGTCCTGAACAAGCAGAGATTCTGTGTGATCCTCAAGCATATCCCAAAGAATTCATTGCAGTAATCTAATCTAAGGAATAATCCCTGTTAATACACAGCAGTATTATTGTCAAGGTTCCTCCCCCACTCTGAACTCTAGGGTACAGATGTGGGGACCTGCATGAAAAAACCTCCTAAGCTTATCTTTACCAGCTTAGGTCAAAACTTCCCCAAGGTACAAAATATTCCCCCCGTTGTCCTTGGACTGGCCGCTACCACCACCAAACTAATACTGGTTACTGGGGAAGAGCTGTTTGGACGCGTCTTTCCCCCCAAAATACTTCCCAAAACCTTGCACCCCACTTCCTGGACAAGGTTTGGTAAAAAGCCTCACCAATTTGCCTAGGTGACTACAGACCCAGACCCTTGGATCTTAAGAACAATGAACAATCCTCCCAACACTTGCACCCCCCCTTTCCTGGGAAATGTTGGATAAAAAGCCTCACCAATTTGCATAGGTGACCACAGACCCAAACCCTTGGATCTGAGAACAATGAAAAAGCATTCAGTTTTTTACAAGAAGACTTTTAATAAAAAATAGAAGTAAATAGAAATAAAGAAATCCCCCCTGTAAAATCAGGATGGTAGATATCTTACAGGGTAATTAGATTCAAAAACATAGAGAACCCCTCTAGGCAAAACCTTAAGTTACAAAAAAGATACACAGACAGAAATAGTTATTCTATTCAGCACAATCTTTTCTCAGTCATTTAAAGAAATCATAATCTAACACATACCTAGCTAGATTACAGAGGAACAGCCGTGTTAGTCTGTATTCGCAAAAAGAAAAGGAGTACTTGTGGCACCTTAGAGACTAACCAATTTATTTGAGCATGAGCTTTCGTGAGCTACAGCTCACTTCATCAGATGTTTTCCACGGTAAACATCTGATGAAGTGAGCTGTAGCTCACGAAAGCTCATGCTCAAATAAATTGGTTAGTCTCTAAGGTGCCACAAGTACTCCTTTTCTTCTAGCTAGATTACTTACTAAAAGTTCTAAGACTCCATTCCTGGTCTATCCCCGGTAAAGACCAGCATATAGACAGACACAGACCCTTTGTTTCTCTCCCTCCTCCCAGCTTTTGAAAGTATCTTGTCTCCTCATTGGTCATTTTGGTCAGGTGCCAGCAAGGTTACCTTTAGCTTCTTAACCCTTTACAGGTGAGAGGAGCTTTCCCCTGGCCAGGAGGGATTTCAAAGGGGTTTACCCTTCCCTTTATATTTATGACAATTATTTATATCATTATTAACCCTCCCAGTTAAGAAAAGGTAGCTAATCAAGAGTATTCTCATTTGGACGCCAGTTGGAAGAAAGCCTTTGCATAAAGTCATATTTGTTGTTTAATAGAGTATTATGACTCTGCATACCAGAGATTTTATCTTTACACGGGTGCACCAAATTCACTTTCCACAACTCCTAAAACTGCATAAATCCCATACCAGGTTCTCCGTGGAAGGCTAGCTGCTCAGATCAGATAGGGCGGCAATACACAGGAGGCGTAGTGAGCAAAAGGCATAGCAGGAAAATAAAACAAAACAAAATAAAATAATAATAATAATTTTCCAGGCAATGTCAAACACACAAAACTAGCTATTCTTTGCACAAAAGTTAAGCCCAGTCATGGTGAAAGTAAGAAACTCAAAAAGAAAAGGAGTATTAGTGGCACCTTAGAGACTAACCAATTTATTTGAGCATAAGCTTTCGTGAGCTACAGCTCACTTCATCGGATGCATTCAGTGGAAAATACGAGGTATTTTCCATTGAATGCATCCGACTGGTATTTTCCATTGAATGCATCCAATGAAGTGAGCTGTAGCTCATGAAAGCTCATGCTCAAATAAATTGGTTAGTCTCTAAGGTGCCACTAGTACTCCTTTTCTTTTTGCGAATACAGACTAACACAGCTGCTACTCTGAAACCTTAAGAAACTCAGAAGTTCTTGAGATAGTCTATTCATGCCATTTCTGACCTCCATCCCTTTTCATTGACCTGCACCAAATTCAAATGTAGCTTTTGGCATGTAAAATCTTTATTCAGCCAAGCATGGGGCTGAGTGACAAACTTACTACTTTTTCTTGCATTCACTCGCTCGGTCCACAGTGAAGTCTGGCAGGTTGATGAATCCTTCAGCTTTCTCTGCCTGCAACAAAATACGTCACCAGAATTAACCCAGGCTGCAGTGGTGGACACTGCTGACCAAGATTAGATTAATTCCCGACAACCTTTTATTCCATGCATATACATTCCTAGTGCAAGGAGCAAGATAGGACCCACTTTTATGTGACTGTGTGTAGGGGAATCAGAAACCCTGCATGGGTTGCCCATCTCATTGTGATGGCGGTGCCACTCCACCTCCTGTGCAAGTGGGCAGGGTGTGGGCATAGCTTTTGCTCCACACCCCCAAGAATCAAGCCGCACAGGTGAACTGGCACAGCAGGGGATGGAATCTGCACCTTGTATAGGGTTAGGAAAGATTACTCCCCCTTCTGGAGCAACCATGCACTGACTCATATTCAGGATTTGTCACACAAAGTCACACTCTGGTTCATAGGGTCAGCTATGGATACAAGCTCCAAAAGCAAAATTTAGCCTCGGGTCTGAAGAGGACTAAAATAGAGGAGGCGCTAGGGGAAAGCAGCTCCCTTTGTAATGATCAGTGATCACATGCTGGTACTGCTGTATATGAGCAAAGTCATCAGCCAAACCTCATACATGCAGCATGGGAAACTGAACCCTTAACCTTCAGCTCCAAAAAACAGAAGTTTCTTCTCATTTGAGGTGAAGGATAATGTCAATATAGGTCAGTAGGAGTGAGAACCATATCCTCTTTTCAGGCGTGGCCATTAGAGACAGTCTCAGAGGGGTAAGTACTTGAGTTGACATTCAGTACAACAGTGCTTCATACACCTTGCTAAAATAAAGGGCCCGATTTCCCAGGCTTCCTTTATTCACCCACAACATAGCCAGTGCAATTTAGACATCTAAATCTCTGATTTGCAGGTATAATTAGTTAATTAAGCATTTGCAGGTGGGATTTTCAGAAGTGGTCATCCTGGAGCCAGTTAAATGCCTGGTAAGTGAAACACAGAGGTGCTGAGGAAGGACGGACAAAGTGCACTTCCCCAGATTTGAGTTAATAAAGTTGCAGCCTGCTGCTGAAATCCATCCCCATGTCTGTCTTCATTCACCTGTGCATCCTGCTCAATCACTGTAGACCTGAACCCTTCCCCTCCTATGAATGGCGGTGATGCAGACAAATAAGAACCTGCATCTGTATGTGTGGGGGGGAATATGGATTTGTTCTTTCAAAAAAAGATTAGAAATATTAATTCCTGAACTATGCATTTCTTGTGCCTCCCCCTCAACCCTACCGCATTATAATTCTGAAAACGTATACTGTGAAAAGCAGCTGAGCTATCTAAAGATATTTCAAAGAGCAAGGATAATTCAGATGGAGCAAAGATGCAGAAGACTGACAGCATCTCAAACTACATTGTTTGTCTGTGAATCTGAAGTGACTATAAAAAAAGGAGGATATTAGCCAAGAATAGTCTCACATTTTTATACGTCAAATATTTAAACTAGAGCAACTGAAGACATTGATTGAGAAAGTAAGTGCAAAGGAAGCAATGAGGTTAATCATAGGAGGTGAGGAAATTGCAGTTTGGTAGACTGGCTTCTTCTGCAGTGAGAAATGTTATTGGTTTGCTACTGTTGTTTTTTGTCTTCTCTGGATTATAATTTTAATTATCTGTCCAGGGTGCTGAGAGAGTGGGTTAGGTTTCTTTTATGTTTCACATGTTGAAATGTAATGAAGTTAAATTAACAGCAAGCAGGAGATCAGAAGTTTGTTTGTTTTTTTAAAAAGGAAAAATAATGTGTAGGAGAGAATTTTACCAAAATCGTATCATATTTAAAATGGGATAAACAATACCCTGAACAAATGCTTTCAACCTAGCAGCCACAGTAAATGAATGGAAAAATAAATGAAAGCCAGTAAGAGAAAGAGGAATTCTGGGAAAGTGCCTTCCAAGGTTTGGCTACTGACAGTACTAAGGGAAGAGAACAAGTTATGCAGGTGTAAGCAGTGTCAGGATGAGCTCCACCCTGACATCTGGTGGTGAGGTGTGGCAAGTTGTGGAAAAGAACTTCAGGGGCTGATCTCATTTGCATAGGCACACCGACCCCGCCTAGAATGAGGCCATAGCTGCCCAAATGGTCACTTTGGCTGCTGTGGGATCCCCAGTGTCTCTGTTATTGGGGCAGGAAGAATAATTTGTTATTACCCTGATTATGGGAACTGTGCTTGGAACTGTACTTGGCCTTTTGTTATGATGGAGGGACTCACCATCAACTAAGTAGCACTCGCTAGGCAAGGGTCATGGGTTTTAAAACTCTGTGAATTGAGAGAGGCTGGGGACAAGTATTAATACTTGGTGGCATGGGCCCCTTGGTGAGGGCCTTACATGCTAATTGCACTTCCTCCTCTCTCCACTGTAGAATATCAGAGCTACTTTTGATTCCATTAGGAGTCTAGTTACAGGCTGCTGAGCTCACTTTGGGCTAATAGTGCACCAGCACTGAGGCTCCCCTACTACAAGCTGAATTCACCAAAGAGCTGAACTGACTAAGAGCTGAAATCACTGAGCGTTGTGTTAAGTAGTGGGGGAGCCTGAAGATATATTGTGGAGCAGTTTGCGGGCTGGCTGGAGTGCCTTGTGGACAGGCTGGTGGAGCAGTCCGTAGGACAGAGGGAGCTGCTGGTGGGACACGGAGCAGTTTGTGGACCGGCTGGTGGAGCAGTTCGTGGGACGGCGGGAGCTGCTTGTGGGCCGCGGAGCTGAGTGAAGGAGTTCGTGGGGCAGCTGGCAGAGCGGAGCGAAGCGAAGGCCTATGGAGCTGTGGGGCGGTCAGCTTCAGATCATGTAAGGTGCCTCTTACCCCCGTCCCATCTCCACCCAGGTTGGGAGGTAAAGCTCCGCAGATAAACTTTCGAACTCTGGGGCTGCCCTGACCAGGGACAGAGACTTTTGGGTCATTGGACTTTTGGGACTTTGGGTGATTTGGGGTTGCTGGACTCAAGAACCAAAGGGAAAGGGGCATGCCCCAGTTTGCTTGGGGTGGGTTTTTTGCTCATGGGTTCTGTTATGAATTCTGTTGGTGGTGTTTCCCCAACGTAATGCCACATTGTTTCTCTCTGTTATTAAAAGGCTTTTGCTACACTCAGACTATGTGCTTGCGAGAGGGGAAGTATTGCCTCTTGGAGGCGCCCAGCGGGGGTGGTATATATTTGTCCCAGGTCACTGGGTGGGGGCTCGAGCCGATTTGCATTGTGTTATTGGAATGGATCCCCTAGATATTGAACCCGGCCCTTGTTGCTGCCAACTCTGACGGGCAGAAGGGTTACACAGGGTTAGAGTACCGAAATCTTGGTTACCTCCTGAGCTAAGTACAGTAAACAGACTACGTCTACATTTCTCTTCCCAGTATAAGCCTACAAAACCAAATGCCAACACAGTTGAGTGCTCCATGTGGTGCCTAGCATAGCATTGAAACAGAGGTTATTAAATGCACCATTGGACTGGAAAGGTACATCCACAATGCTGGGTTCTCCACTCCATCCACCACCAATCTAGCTATACAATTTTAGAAATCGAGATTAAGATGATCTTTCTAAAAAGGAACATCCCTCACCCCCAGCCCTAGCCACACACCAACTAACCGAAATTTAAAGCAAGAATGAATAAACTTTGCAACACCAGGAGGCTCTTTGGCAGCACATAATATGTATCTCCATTTATAGAAGAAAGAAGAAGAAGAAGAAGAATGCACACTACCATACTATATGTTTTTATATCTTCCTTGAGGGATCAACAAGATACTACTTGTTGGTAAATTTTGCCATTACTGAAAACGGATGCAAATTTAAGGCATTCAGAGTGTTCTTAATACACTTTTTACCATTTTAAAAGGTTGTTCAAAAATTGGAGCAGGTTCAGAGAATAGCTAAAAAATGGATCGAAGTTTGGACAAAATGCCTGACAGTGAGAGATTTAAAAAACTCGATCTGTTTAGCTTATTAAAAAGAAGTTTTAGAGATGATTTGATTACAGTGTATAAGTACCTTCATGGGGATGAAATACCAGGTATTAGACTCCTTAATCTAGCAGAGAAAGGTATAACAAAAACCAGTGACTGGAAGCTGAAGCCAGCTAAATACAAATTAGAAATAAGGCACTAATTTTTTTTAACAGTAAGGGTGATAACCATTGTAACCAGCTCCCAAGGGAAGTGACACTTTTTCTATTGATATCTTCAAATCCAGATGGATAGCCAAACACTTGTTATGCTTCAGTCACACAAGTTACTGGGTTCAACATGGGGAGAACTAGGTGAAATTCTATGGCCTGTGGTATACAAGAGTTCAGACAAGATGATCTAATGGACCACCCTCACCCCCCAACCTTAAAAATCTATGAATTTATAAATCCAGGGAATCCTAGCCCTTTCCATTCATCTACAGAGAGTGTACCTTTATAAACAAGTGTAGGATATAGCTGTAAGTCTCATTTGGGGATTTTTCAGATTACAGCTGACCTTCTTGTTCCACTGTGGGCCACTCAGTTTTAAATGGGAATCTTTCCCCTCAGTCATTTAGGAAGATGGATACTTATAGCCTCAGTACAACAGTGCACTTAAAAAAAGGTGCTTCAACTAAGCATGGGATTCAGTCCAGCTGAAGCCACATGACTATTCACGTTCTTAACGTTAAGTAGGTGCTAAAATACTTTGCTGGAGCGGAACAATGGTGCTCAGCACTTTGCAGGATCAAAGTGTAAGTGCATTTTAGGGTTCCATGTTCATTGTGACTTCATAATTTCCACAACACATTTGATTCATTTGCAAGTTGGACATGCCTTTGTTGTTTTGGGTTGTGCGTTTTTTTTATTAATTATTATTCTTATTGCTTTGTTTTGTTTCTGTTTTAAACTGACAGCTCTATAAACTAGACCTGGTATCTTCCCTGAAATCCCAAGACATGCAGCAGGTATAACTGGGAACAAAGTTGTGATAGCTGTGTTTGCTCCCCAATATTAGCATGTGTAAAAACCAGTCAAATTTTATTGTCACAGAAATCAG